CTGCAGCACATTGGCCGGTGCTGACCAGGCCGACACGATCTATGGAGTACAATTTGCACTGTTGCCCTTTTCCCTTCAAGCAACATAGGTTCAGATCAAATCAATGTTCAAGGTCCTAAAGCTAAATAAGCTCTTAAATGGATCTTTAGGCACACATTCACATCAATAATTCATATTGACAGTTGAACGAAGTGCAAGGAAATCTTCGCAACTTTTCCAAAAGGCTTTAAATGGCATTATGTTAAGCTAACCTACATTTTCAATCAGTGACATAAGTAGTAACTGTACATTTTGTATGCGGACTGAATGCCCTCTGTAGGCTTACAGCCATTTTGTCTGGCACTGATGGTAAATGGGGTCTTTAGGTCAGCAGCAGCAGCACTCTTTCTGCTCTCTCAGGCCAAACCAGAGGCTTTTCTTGCCTGGACATACGCAGTGAAATCCCCATGTAATCAAGCAGCTGGAAGGTCTGCTTTTCTGGGATTTAGTGCAATGTGGCAGGTGCCAATCTGACTGCAATCAGGATTTACACAGGCCCTGCTCCTGATGGCATTCAGCAACTTTAACAAGAGCTGATGCTCGGAGACTAACCGCAGTCATTCATTTATTTTCTTGCACAGCATTGTATCATAGACAAGGTACACAAGAACCCAGCAGAGATGTACTGTATGCACTACAACATATCCTGTGAGATCTGGGTTGGTGCCGGGGTTTAAACTCCTACTTTTATCCAAGAGAGTAAAAGTCTATATGTGTATTGTTGTCTTAATTAGTTGTCTTTTATTTCAGTTGAAGTTTAGTTTTATTGTTCTGGGGGGGGGGTAGTACTTCACACAGAGCACCTATGCAAAAACAATGTAAACAAATCTGTGTAAATAAAGGTTACATCATTTGAATAAAAGAAAATTCCCTGGGGGTGAAAGTTTGTGCGTGTTCGTGTACCTCTACACAGTGAGCATCTTTGCTAATATTTTGGGCATTTATGTGTGTGTAAATCTTGTTCGTATAATACAGAAAAAGAAACTGTGAAAAGTAGACAAGAATGAGAGCCTGAGCCAAAAAAAAGACAGAAAATAAGAGAAGGTTTGTAAAAGACAGAAACTCCCGGAGGCAGTAGGACAGTGGGACACACACACACAGACGGGCTCAGCCGTCCCTCCTCTGTCTGTCTATTATTGATGTCGGGCACGCAGGGTTCCCACTCAGCCATCTGTTCTCAGCTCTCCCACTCTGTGCCCCTTTTGCTTCATGCCTACCACTTTGGCAGGCTGGCATAAGCAGAGCAATGCTGTCCTATCAAAGTGTGAATACTTCATAAATATCTCACACTATCGGGGAGTAAGCTATTGGAGGAAGAGCCCAGAGAGAGGAATGAGAAAAAGTAATGTGATGAAATTTTCATTAATTCAGGCTCTTTGTTGGATGACTTCCAACACATGCATTGATTTGCGGTGCGAGATATAATCTTGTCACGACTGCATCAAATATAAACAGAATTGGCGGTGGGTTGTGTTTTGTGATGGACTGTCAATAGTTCTCTTCTGCATGTTTTCAGATGTTAATCCAATCACAGCCACACCCTCCTACTGTTAATAGCATATGGCTGCAGGTTTGAATTTGATTTGACTTGTAATGGATGACCGTGCATATTCAGTCGAGCCCGTTGCCAGGGGTAACAGGGACCTGTAGGTCGTTTGATTGGCTGCAGGGTGGTCACATGAGGCTTCCCCAGCTGGGACAGAGGCCACATGTGGCGAGTCTGGAGATGTGTAAGGGTGGCGTGTGTTTGCAAACACTTGGCTTCGCCTCCCAGTTAATCCATAGATGCAGTTCTTATCCGTGCACACCCTTCCCCTCCCGCCACACACACATGCATACAAACTTGCAGAAAATGAACTGTAAATGTTGCATGTCGGTCTCATGAAGAAGCTGCTAGCATCAGTGGGGCTGTCTGGCTTAACATGTGTCTTCAATTATGTCCTTCTGACTGACAGACAGGAGGGGTCAGATGTGGGTAAGGGGATGCCAGGGGCTGTGGGATGGTGATAAAGGCAAGATATTGGTTTGGGGCTTTAGAAATCTAAGCTATCACTCCATCGTGTGACTTGTATTTTCCTTATTCCTAGAGGGGTGAAAGAAGCTTTATTCTCTGGCTAGCACCAGAGTTAAGACCCCCTGGGGTGTACGAGATGAGAGGGAAATTAATAATGTGTAGAGACTCAAAGGCTTTGAATGAACCAAAGGATCAGAAGAGGGTGAAAAGAGTGCAATAGAGGCAGAAAGGGAAACAGAAACACGGACAGAGAGAGGAAAGCACAGACAGGCCACCTTCGAGCAGAGGCTGGGAAGAACAAGGAGTGGCATTATGAGACGGATAAAAGAAGGCAGCTCCAAAAGTGTTTTAAAAAGATCAACAATCAAAAGGGATACTCCACTGAAAATCTTTGAGGATCGAGTATCATTCAGAGCCTCTAGGCTTGAAAGGGGGCAGCTTATTTTGGTAGTTTATTCCTTTAAATAGTCAAATAAAATCAACCCTGTATTCACTTTGCAGCAAATCTGTAGCTCTACATTAATTGATAAATAAGACATGTAATTGTCATTTTAAAACACTAAAACACACCACAATGTGAGATATACTATCACATACTTCCCATGCTGCCCTGAAAACAGATTGCAAATTAGCATTTCTTATCAAAGCCAGAGGGAGTCACGAACTGCCAGTGCTCCCAGTCTTGAGACATGTTTTTCACACCACAGCGTGCAAGTCAAACATGAACACAAAAAAAAATAATGTTAAGGAAACTCCAGATTTGATATTAAGGGACTTGACCCAGTGCTGTGTGGGAGTCACGCTAGCATGCTCAGCATTGGCACACTCTTGCCTCGTCTCCCCATCAGGCCAAGCAGGCCTCGGCCCCGCTGTGGCCTCTCTGGCTCAAAGCCAGCAGCTTCGCCATCTTTTGAACCTGCGCAGACCTGGCTGAAACCAGCTGTGTTAAGCCGGATCTGACCACAGCTGATCACACCACCCGGCATTAGATATGAATCACTATTAAATGCTGTATTCATCCACCACCTCCATCTGTCCATCCATCAACCCGAGCAACGGTTTCAGTTTTGCTTTTTTATGTTTGCTTTTCTGATGTTTTGTATTGTAATTGCCTGTCACCCTTCCACAAAGACAATGAAGGCTAATAAGAAAAAAAATGGAGCTAATAATGATGCTGGGGCAGTATGCCATATGTGATCCCTCCCTGCAGCATGGGCAGCATGCCACCCAGCAACACAATGGGTTTATCCACAGTGATTTATTAAACACCCTAACCATTGGCTAAATTAGCAATCTATTCCTCTCCACACCATCTTTCTCTGTCTGTCTTTCTTTTTTGGTCTCTATCTGCAAAGAGCAGTTAGAATATATGTTAAGTGGGTATGTAACGGTAGACCGGCCCCATATTGGAACCATTAAGCATGACTGCCTATTACACGGGTCTTTAGCAACTCAGAGAAATAACCCCTTATCATCCTGTCTAGAGATAGTCCCTGTTGAGGTTTCCCTCCATAGAGTGGTTAAATGTAAATGAATGTGATGTATACGTACTCCATAACAGTGCTCCATGTAATCCCTCCACTCTCCACAACTGATTGTTAAACATGAGAACAACTTGAATAGAGAGATTGAAAGGTTTTGGTCAAGAGTGCTCCAAAGTACTCTGCAGTCCTAAAGTGGTGGTCTTCTCTTCACAGCAGCCATTAGCATTGGCCCATCTTGAATGTTAAATACCACGAGCGCTGGGATGCTGCATTGTGTGTTTAGACAAGAGGGAGTTTGATGAAAGGCTGTAGATGGTACACCTGCCGAGGAAGAGGGGTTGAGATAACAATTTTCTCCTCCCTGTCAAGGAGACATCTGGCATTGCCACGGTGTTGCAAGCTGAAATACACCCCGGAGTGGTTAATGAGGCGTAGGAGTCACGGTTTGTGTTTTGTTGAGGGGGTGTGTGTGTGTGTGTGAGTGTGTGTGTTTTGGGATGGTGGTTCCCTCATCTTCCTGAACTAGCCTCTGTAGACCCTGCAAGCACGCCATCTGTAGTCCTCAGCCATAAGCCCACTTGCGTGTGACTCATAAGCAGCGTTAAATCAGCTTAAATACACGCACACATTTAACCTTCTTCTCCTCAAAACCTAAATAGGAGAAGTGGGAAGTATGGAGGTTAACAAACAAAACAAGATAGAAGTAAAATAAGGAAAATATGGGTTCAGTGTGTGACTACGTGTGTGTGTGTGTGTGTGTGTGTTTAATGTGTAATTTAACCAAAGTGGTACCCACCCATCCGTGACTGTGCGCCACATGTCTTTGGATGTCACCATTAACTTGGTGGCCTGCATTATGTTTACACACAGTCCTGTGTGTCACTGCATACGCTGAGAGGGGTTGCTAAGAAACATGCAAGTAATGTTCGATAACACCCTTGGAGAACAATGAATGTTGAACTGAAATGAACATATTGTCTTTTATGATTGTTGCTTGACTGTTTAACGTTTAGTTACTTTTGTTGAACGTTGTTGATTGTGGCATCTAACTATTTACATAGAAACTGTTTTTTAATTACTTTTATAGTTGATAATTGTTGCCTTTGACTGTTTATATGTAACTTGCTTTTTGTCACTTTTGTTGATTGTTGTCTGACAATTTCTGTTGTTGGGACTTTTATAGTTAATTGTTACCCCGATGGTTTATATTTTAGTTACTTGTATAGCTGGTTAATGCTTTTGACTGTTTACTGTTTTGTTAGTTTGTAATCCTGGAGGCTGTTTGAGATAATACAGTATCACATTATAATAACAGAGCCAATGAAACAAGAAAGGAGCCAGAAATAAATATTACAAATTATGTGAATTGATTTTGCAAATAAAATGGTAAGCAATAAAGAAATGCTGAAAAGCAGTTGTAGTTAATTACTTTGTTTGACTGTTTATGTCTTTATTTATTTCAGGTAATCTCCGCTCTGTCAAGGATCTCCCACCACAGCATTGCACAGATCAAAGGCATCAGGTATGTGTCTGATTTGTAACCCTCTCATTTATTATCTGAACAGCCAAAGCACTCAAGAGTATCGGTGTCAAAGAAACCATTTGGATGAATGTATTCCACATTTACTTGTATGTCTATATTAAGATGGAGGTAGCTATTAACATCTGCTGCTCATTTAAAAGTCGATTTACATTTTTAGGCAATTAGCTGCTGCTTTTAGACACTGTTATCTTTCAGGGCACAAAATAATCCACATTGCATTTACATCTGTCACTCAAACAGCACTACAGCACACTGTTTATGTAGACATTTAGTAGCGCTGCTGTCTGAGTCAGAACGCTATATTGTACATTTTACACAGATAATGGTGAAGCTGAGAAAATCCCTTGCACTGCTTTATCAGGCCTGGAATGAGCTTCTGATTTCTCTTCATTTGTTCAATCTGCTTGGAGCTTGGTTGCTCACCGGCGCCACGTAAAAAGCCATTTTATTCGTCTGAGTAATGAGTTGATGGAGCGCACCCATTAGGAGTGATGCCAAGAAATGGAGGGAGAAGAAGGGGGGGCGGGGGGCGGGGGCGACAGAGAGAGTAGGTCCCTTGCCATTAATAAAGACAACACAACCTGCTGACTGCTAGCTAATTCACTGCCTGCCCACACTGACCATTTTTCTGTAAGATGTTGAAATCAAGGTTAATTTGACCTTAGTGTAGATCACATTCTGGGCTTTCTTGATCCTGATTTGCTTTAATTTTGGTTATCAGAATACTGATTAAATAGGAAACTTAAAAGTTCAGATTCTCGAACTATGGATCAGAGGTGAGAACCTAGATGGTTCTGAATCCACAAAAGGAATATAACGTTCTCACCAGCCTGGTTTCCAAAGAGGGCAGCCAGGCTAGTTGGTCCTTCAACTGAAGGACAAGCACCTGACCACTGAAGTGTCCTTAAACAAAACACTGAATTCCTATTAAACCCCAGAGTTACCCTGACCTCTTACCTCGTACCTCGCTTTGGAGGTGGACATGAAAATTCATCTGCCTTATGGGAATCAATAAAGTGTGACTTTATTAAGTAAGGTCAAATTAGACTCTTGGTCTGAACAAGAAAACATTGATTAAGGTGATTAAATGGTACACTGAACTGCATTCGCTCAGGGGATCGTGTCTTAATAGGAATTGGGTTTTATTGTTGGTTATATGTGCCAAATTGAATAGAATATTTTTAATGTATAACTTTCTTTCTCCATCTGTTACACTTTATGGCTACAAAAGTTGCCATTTCCATCTTCATAAGTGCCTAATGGAGCTTAAAGCAACCGTCCGTCTCAGGCTACAGGATAACAGATATGCACAGGGGCGTATGACAAATGTCTAATGAGGTCCGTGGCCATGTACTGTAAGATCTAGCATAAACAGGGTGCTACTATCAAGCAGAACACTTTAACAACATGGATGTTCACTGACCCCAGTTGACCTTTTTAAAGGGTCTTCTCACCCGCTTCTTGGTTATCCTGCTTAGGGCAAGGTTAGGTGCATTTAACTGTCAGACCTCTTCTTTCTCGCTTCAAAGCCCCTGTCAACTATGTGCGGCCCTGACAACAGCTATAACTCATTCCAACACATACCATACATTTAAGTAGTGTACCAAACAGACAGAATGACGGGAACAATGACGTGGTCATGTCTAGCACCTTTCAGAATACGGTTGCAACTAAAACAAGAGATAAGTATCAAAATGTTAAATAGAATCAAATGAAATTGAAAAGATAAAACCAACTAGAACAACAACATTCTTTTTGTTTTTAATTTTTTTTTTGCTCAATGAAAGCAGGTTATAATGCGTGATTTAAAATATGTTACTAAATCTTAAAGCCAAGCCAGTCTTAAACAGGTACTTGCAAGCAGGTAGAATATCAGTGCCTGAGGTTCTCAGATTGCAGAGTCTCGAGGGACCTATGAGCCAGAGCTGGGTGCCATTGATCCCCACGTTTGATTTTAAAGTCATTTAATTAAGAACAGCAAAAACTCAAACATAACAATTGTGATCAGATTATTTTCTTTTAGACTTAACTTCATAGCCACTTGGAATAATCTAATGTGACAAATGTTGAATATGGCACTAGTGAAGTCTGGCCAGCTGCTTCCAAAAGTGAGTTATGAAGTTCTTTTCTTAAATCTTGTGCCTGAGGTTATAATAAAAGAGATGGTTCAGTTGGGTGGAATAGTAAAAGGAAATAGGTGCACTTCTCCTTCACTGAATTTCAGATGGGTCCTATATAACAAAAATGGTCTGGCCCATACACTCAGCCCAAATACAGCAATGAATTACGGCCCAGACCAATCTTACTCTGTGGGTTGCTTCAGTATCCTTTCCCAAAAGCAATTTTGAAAAAAAAAAAAAAAAAGGAAGCACTCTGGTAATAATAAAAAAGGCCACAATTTGTCTTGATAATTGTTTGGTCATTCTATTTTCAACAACAACTGACAAATCCCACCATGTACCGGATTGGTTTTGAATTCAGCTGTGTCTGACTTGAATGTCTCTGTACACCTTTAGAGGGATACTCCAGCATTTTATTGCACATCTAGAAAGTTGTGAGAAACAGATGGCTTGGATGAAACTGAACTTAATGTGTGAAATTGGTGAGATGTCCCTTTAAGAGGCTTACAGAGAAGAACATATTGTATAAAATGACTTTAACCCTAAGCTCTCAAATCATTTTAGCACAGACACCACATCAGGCCATCCATTGAGTTTTAAAATGACCAGAGAGTTCCTCACTGTGTTAAATCACTGGGGAACATTGGCACAGGCATGTCCATTGACATTCTGTTGAAGTTCATTGATCTTGTATGAAGTCTGTTCACTGTAATCAGGGATCAATAGTTCATGTCACTGTCACTGTGTCAGCATTCCAGCCCCGGTCGAAAATGAAGTCTTTATTTTGCGTGCTCCTCTGCGCATTCAGAGACAGTGCTGGACGCATGATCAAATATTCATATACACAGTACGCTCTTCCCTTTGGCTCTGTTGTTTCTATTCTGTCTTATTTTAACATCCCAGCGTGATCTCTGCAACTACCCATAATTCTTCTCTTGCATTTGAGAGCCTGATTGCTGCTGGGTACAGCGGGGCATGGCTGCCTCTTTTTTCAACATTCTAATAGTTTTTTCCCCACTTTTACATTTACGATTAAAGTTTGATTGACTTATTCAAATCTCTCTAAACAGTGCCCAGTGCGTCTAAGCTGATGGAAAAAAGAAGATAAGCTTGCTTTCAATTGTTTCTCTGCTTCATGGGGGTTTTTGCCCTCAGTTTCACCTCTTAGGTGAAATATAGTCATTGTGACCCCCTGTTCCCGCCATTTACATCTCTCCATCTCGGAATTTATCTCAAACACTGTCAATCAAAAACAAAAGTTGACCGCAGTTTGCTCTCTTTTTGTGTAAATCCTCTTTGTCTGCAGACTTCATGTTCCCATCTCTTTGTGTGCCCTGGGAGTTGACCTTGTGTTTCTCACAGCTCATCTACAGTATAAGCCTGCGTCATCCTTTCTCCTGTTATTCACCCCCCTCCCTCCCGCTTTCCTTCTACTTATCTTTACTACTGTCCTCAGCTAACCCCGCTCCAACCTTCAACCCACTTGCGCTTCACTGTTTTAGTTCATTGTGGATCCTCGCTGTTGGAGTGTCATGGACTCTGGGGATCAGGGTCATATAGTGCGACAGACGTCAGCATCTAGACAGAGAACAGATGAGGAGGAAGTTTGGAGGAAGAAGGGTTAAGATAATGACAGTTCTTTAAAATCCTTCAATCCTAATGCTAATACTGTCCTATAGACGTAAACTGGTTCGTACTGAAAAGTATTTATCAATATCTTAGAGTTAATTTTTGTTGTATATGTTTATATATATTTATATTGCTGTGAGCATGAGTTGCAAATGATCAAAACAAATTACAGTCTAGTATGTAGTCTTAGAAATAACAGCACGACATGTCAAAGAGAGAAAACAATAAAATAAACAAAGATAATTGGTTATATAAATAAAGATAATAAAAAGAACAAGAAAATACATTTAAAAGAAAGGAAGCACACTTATAGTTAGTACTAAAACCTATTCCTTTAATGACACAATACATTTGAGGCTTTAACAAATAATTATTTTCACACAAAACATTTAGTCTAAATGTCCAAATATGATGAAAATTATTATTCATAATTTTCTGAAGCCTAAGATGTGGTCTTTAAATATATTATTTTGTCTGACTGAAAAGTCCAAAGATATTTTAATAATAGACATTTTGGAATGGCATAAAACAAATCAACAAATCCTCACATTTGGTTAGCTGGAACCAGAGAATGTTTGGCATCTCTATTTGAAATATGACCGAAATGATGAATCGCCTATCATAATACAGTAGTTGCAAATTATTATTATTTTTTTAAATCAACTAATTAATGTATGAACAAATCTTTTTCAGCTCTACCTGAAATCTTTCTGTATGGAATGAAAAGCTATTTGTGACATAAAGCTAGTTCTTCCACGTAATACATACAAAATAGAAATAATAATCAGAGCATTGTACAGCATTGCTGCTGAGAGACAATATACATACGCACGTGTTTCTACTCTGTTTTTATCTTTAAGATGCGGAGGTTGCAGTGCACAGCAGGAGTAGGACAAGCTTTATTGCTTGCACTTTGCACTCCTCCCTCCCTCCCTTTCCTCATACTGTAAGCACCGCTCTGCCCACTCACCCCACTGAATTCCATCACATTAGTATGCAGTTATCACGTTGCACATCCACTCCTCATTTTTTACTCATGCCGTTTTAATGCATTGTGCGTGTTAATTTCACACGTAAATCTTGTAAAAATAGCTCAAACATGCAAAGAAAAATGAGGCTCTTACTCATATGTTACTTTGCACACACACACAACCTCTCCAGGCAAGTGCGGCTTGGAAATGAAACTGCATTTCCAGGTTCAAAGGAGGGTCGGGAGAGTTTATGGACAGG